TGTGATTCCAAAAATGTGTAACAATGTTAGAGATATTTGTGATTTAAATTTGCACATAATATCAATTCCATTTTTTAAATTGGTCTGTTTACTAATTAACGTTCCTGCAAACTTCCTCACTTGAGAGAAAAGACACCACCACCTCCACTGGGATGGCAAATAATGAGGAAATATTAAGTCATAATATCATCCTGAGAGTCTGTATGTGCAAGAAATTCACAAACCTCCTAAATCCTGCTTCCTATTGTTTGACTAGACCATTTTAATGGTTTAATAATCTTCCTGGATTCATTGCTTAATGGTTTAACAAATACAAAATTTACAAAAAATGAATGTGAAATTATCCCAGGAATGCCCAAAATTTGTCTTCTGAAGACAATGAAAACAGGTGTCAAAACTACCATTTTTAGATAGTCATGCTCTTTTAATATTTTAATGAATACAATTGAGTTAAAATTTGAAATATGTAAATCTATAAGCAATGGCCTGTCACTTCCAGAAAATACCCATATAATGTTAAAGCTTTAGTTCAATAATTTTAGTTGCTTTACAATAAGATAGGTTGTATCTCACAAGGTTATTTTAACACAAAAACACACACTATTTCCCCATTCTGAAAAGTGTTAGAGACCAAAAGACAGATAAGAAGGAACTGAAGAGTTGTCCATGTTTTCAGTTTTTTTAAAAAGAGTTCTCAGGGTTTTTTTATCATTGCTTTATTTTTTTAAATTTATTCTTAATTGGGAGTTAATACATATATCATTCCATAGTTCAATCGGGTCAAGCAGAATTGCATAATTGCTATCATAATCCGTTTCCAAACATTCTTTTTCTTCCTGAACTCCTTGACATCAACTCCCTTCTCTCCCACCTACCCACCCCGCCTCTTATTCTACTTGCTGTCCCTGTAGTTTCATCAATCCTGGGTTTCATGTACTGAAATACAGAAAAACATGTAACAACTTCGTGAGGGTGACGTCCAATGATATAAAGTAACACCTCTGAGATAAATCCTAATATGAACAAACAATAACAAAAGAAAACAAATCAAAAATATAGAAAATGTTGAAAAGCAGTTCAAGTTTCAAACTGCTGACCATGGTATTAGCAGCTTAACTTGTGATCTCTGCACAAGGGTTCCTTATACTAGTGATTCCAAATTACTCGGCAGGGATGTGTATCTAAGAAAAACGGGCATTACCAGGCAAAATAAAGATGATGAGCTCAGAGAAACCACCCAAATGAAGTTCAGACCCAGAAAGACTAGAGTCAGGCAGCAGCCAAGGAGGACTTCATAAACAGTTATAAAAGAGTGGTTGAGAATAAATAAATACAGTGGGACAAGTGAGAGCCAGGCATCTAACTGTTAGAGAAAAGTGTGTGTGAATTCATGCTTTTCAATAAGTACAAATAAACGCAGAATGAACGGATATAAGTATGAAAGCTAGAAGCAGTAATACGCTAGAAACAACGAGCATGCTATCCCAAGCTTGATTCTGAGTGAGTCAGAGTACAGGATCATTTCTTTGGTCGTCTGGCCAAGGATGCATGGTATGAGGAAAACAGGATCAATCCTGGTTGAATGTCATTCTCCAAAATAAAGATCCTATTCAAAGATTGTCAAAGACATATGAGGCAGGGAAAGACCAAAGGACTTCTGCAGAATAAAGGGGCTAACGAAACAGATTCTGAAATGCAATGCATATTCCTAGACAGGAGCTTGGACCAGAAAAGAAAAACTGATATTGTTACTGCAGCTGGCTAACTCTGAATCAGGTATGTGGAATAACTCACTGCTACCAAGTCAATTCTGACTCATAGTGATGCTAGGGACAGAGTCCAACTGCCCTTCTGGGTTTCCAAAGCTGTAACTCTACGGGAGCAGGAGAGCCTCATCTTTCTCTAGTGATGCAGCTATTGGGTTAGAACTGATGCTACCTTGTAGTTAGCAACCTAACACATAACACACTTCGCCCCCCAGGGCGTCCCTGTGGGGAACAATAGAAGCATTGCATCAATGCTGACTTTTTGTCTGGGATACTTCACAATAAAAAGAGTATCCTCTGTTTTGGAGAGGTATATATTGAAGAGTTACAAGTGATGGGCATCATGTCAGAGAGCGGAAAAAGGATTATGGAGCAAATGTGACAAAATGTTCATTGAGGGGAAAAAAGAGCTGATATCAAGCACTCAATAGAAAGTAAACCCTTAAAAATTAATGATGGCAACATATGTACAAATATGCTTGATACAATTATGTATGGATTGTTATAAAAGCTGTAAGAGTCCCCAATAAAATGATCTTTAATTTTTTTTTAAATGTTCATTTGGGGTAGAGGGTGCAAAAGTTCTTTGTATGGTTCTTGCAATTTTTAAATATTTACAATTCTCTCAAAATATATTTTAAAACTTACAACTAAATAAACAAATAGTGGCAGGTGCAGATTATAATCTAGTGACTAACAGGAATCGACTTGTAGGGAAGTAGTTTGAAAAAGAAAATTCTTTCTGCAGTATAACACCAACTAAAAAGATGTAGAATCGAATTTTCAAAAAAAAAAAATCACCCTCTGGCAATTACTTTAGCAATACGTGATTTAAGCCAACAATCATCAATTAGTGAATGCTAAAGTTATGGGTGAAATGTGCTATGGAATAACATAATTAGTGAAGTCCCAGTTACCTCACTGCAAATTAATATTAATTATAAAGGGGAAAAGTAACAATTTACCATAAAGAAATGTTAGCAATGCCTTTTTAATCAAGTATTCAAAATTAACAAGAAAAACAAGATATTGTCTTTCCTATGACAGGACACAATGAGACTACTGGATCACTTCCTATGACAATCTTGCAAAAGATGCAAAAACAGAATTTACTCATGAATAAACGCCAAACCAATCAAAGAGTGGGGGACAATTTCAGACTGAAAAGACATGATGATAAATGAAATGTGCAACCTATTATCCTAAAAATAGACTACTGGAAAACTCTGAATAAAAGCCTATAGATTAGATTATAATAGTGCAAGAAGGAAAACTATCAGACTTTGATGGCTGTACTACAATTATGTAGAAATATTATCTCTGAGGAAAATACATGCATAAGAATTCAGGGATATAGGCATCGTATCTACCATTCCTCTCAAACGTTTCATTCAGATAAAATGTGTGTACATGTTAAGTACAAAAGAAGATTCCCTGAACGGATCTTGTATCTTGTCTCTAAATTTCAAACTTAAAGAGAGGGAAGAAAGGATATGACCAAAGAGAGTGCTTTTAGCTTTGTATGCAGTCTGTGTTTATATATGAGATATATGATTTAGTCATCGTATGTATCTTATATTAAAATAGATGCATCACATGACATACTATAATACCTATTAGAACATTTTAGATTTCAATGACTTATACCTCAATATAAAGAACAAAAATCCTCACAACTAGACCAATAAGCAGCATCATGATAAATTGAAAAATTATTAAAACTGTCAAATATTTCATTTTACTTGAACTCATGATGAACTCTCATGGAAGCAGCAGTCAGGAAACTAAATGAGTGCATTGATTTCACAGTGCACTTCAGTAGCAATAAATCTTAAAGTGTTAAAAATCAAGCTGTCACTGTGAAGATCAAGGTACACCTTACACAAGCAATAGTAGTTTCAATCACCTAATAGCATACAAAAGCAGACAATGAATAAGGATGGCCAAAGAAAAACGGATGCCTTTGAATTATGGTGATGGTGAAGAATATTGAACAACATATGATGGACTGCCAAAAAAACTAAAACACAAATACGTCTTGCAGGAAGTACAGACAGAATGTCCCTAAGACTTGGATCTCATATACTTTAGGAGATGTTATCAAGAGGGATCAGGGATCAGTCCCTGGCGGACAACGTGCTTGGCAAAGTAGTGGGTCAGTGAAAAAAAGGCCCTCATGAACTACAACCACAATGCAATGACTCTATGGGCAGCAAAGACAAAGTAGGGACTGTGAGAATGAAGCAGTGTGTTTGTTATATAAAGGGTTACATGAACTGAAATTGATACAATAGCCCCTAACAACATTACATTATGAAAAAGAAACAATGTTTTGTGAATGGCTTCTCAAAATTTGGAATGATATCTAAAGGTAAGCCAATAAAACATCCATTTTCAAGTTCTTATTTTAATAAGAATGGGGAAATAAGGATTGAGATAACAGAAAATTTATATATATATTTATTAATCAAGTCCTAAGATTCTGTAATGATTCTCTGGCTTTTCCACTTGACCCACAGAATCAGGTTAGGTTACACAATGGAATCTATTTTACCCTCGTGCCCTACATAACCACTTATTAGTTCAAACTATATCCATTCTGAAGACCTAATTGAAAGGTTCCCTCTTCATCAAGCCTTTGCTGCTACTCACTCAAACATACACCCAGCCAGCTATTCTCTTTCTGTGAGCGTTGAAAGCACTTGATCTGGAACTTCACTTGTGAGATTTTACTTTTTTTATTTTACATCAAAGGAATTTATATATGTCTACCTGCCTGTATATTAGATTGTAAGTTCCTTGTGGGCATGAATCAAATTTGATCCATCCTTATTTCTTTAATACCCTATCTAGCACCCTAAATACAGGGAACTTTGCAGTATTTTTTAATAATGATCAAAATTAGCATTGCAATAAAAATAAGTTCATGTAATAAGCAAAGGGTAAAAATAATTATAGTACTTGCATCAAAGCAGTAATGTGTACAACTATTACCAACGGTATCTACCCCCAATCCCATAAAATATTTAAAGCCATGTAACCCTTAAAGGGAAAACGGCTATCTGGAAAATAATTCATCAGAATGGATTTCCCAAAGAGCCTAGGGCAGCTAAGGTGTTCAAGAAGAGATACACCATCTTTTTTCACAAATGCTGAACAGATGCTCATTCTGTAACTGGAAGAAAGAACAAAGAAACAGCAACTTTTGGACTCTTTTAAAAGATTAATAAGTACCTCTTCAGTTTCAGGAGCAACCTGGGAATCAGTAATCTCATCTAATTTATCTTCAGCAACATAGTCTTCCTGCTTTTGCTTCCCTTGTTGCCCACCATAAGCCTGCAAGTATTCTTCATCCTAACAGCCATTAAAGAGAAAACATGTTTTTCTCATACATCGTTTGGGTTTTCTTTTTTTGTTGTTTGTTTTTTAAGGTACTTTTCATATCTTTATGGCTCATGCTTAATCATTTTAGTTATTTTTACTGTGACAATTACCCAACTGAGCACAAAGGTGCACAAAAACAGAACGTAGCCTCCTCTAAGCATTAATGAGAACAAAGCCCATCATGCTTATCCAGTGCTAACGTTAGTGACATGAGGTTGCTTCAAACTTATGTGTCCTGTTAAATAGCTCTTCTTAAAAAGGGTAATCTTTAACCCCCCTCCCCAACACATGTGCATGTACTATCAGAAAAAACTCCGTAGCAGTAAGGAGGCTGAAATTATACTCGATATTCCCACCTCTTCTGGCAAACTGAATGTTCACAAAAGCACGTTAAGATTCGTTTCTCCGTTAGCCTTCTCCCTTGAATGTGAGAGTTGATTGCAGGTCTTATATAAAATGTAAGAAGTCTGTTTCAGAGGCACGCACCCCCTTTAAGGGTGCATACAAAGAAGCAAGCAGCTTGGCTTGGGACAGCCACAATTGCAAAAGAAAAGAGAGGCTTCTGTCAGCACTCCTAACAAGTAACGGGATCCGATTTCTTCATTTCTCTCCAGTATCCCTTTCCAGCTCATAGGAGGGAACCGTCCGCATCCCTAGCCTCTTGCTAAAAACCTACAGTAAAATGAGTCAAAGGCAGGCACCAAAGGGTAAACAAGATAGGGAAATAGAATAGTCTGTTAATAGTATACAACAGCCTTATCTACAACCCCCAAAGAAAAAGAGATATTTCAGGTAAAGTTTTATGTCTCACAGCTACCTTTCCAGATCCTCTGAACACAGTGCACTTTACTTTCCAGAAGAAAGTGTTAGCATAATCCCATGAAAAAGAGCAACTACCAATATCTATGACTCGCTGATTTCAAACAAGGTCAGACAGAGCTAATCAAAATCTCCATCAATTCATACAGGTGTATAGTACATACTATGGGATTTTTACTGGGAAACAAAGATCCACTACCCTTTACATAAGTGATTAGCTAAAATTGTGTTTACAGTATACTGGTTTATGAAACCTCAGTCTGTATTAATTTTAAAGACTCTAGATAAACTTCACTTGGGTTATAATTCAAGTATTTTGTTGAATAACAAAACACATTGTTTTGTTGTTCTTACAAGAGCAAAGGTTAAATCACAGCACAATTTTCTCTTAAAAGCATCAGCAAAATTTGCAAAAGTTAAGACTCTTGTCACATTTTGGTATAACAGGAGAGATCAGAACTGTACTGCCAGAGGTTTCAATGTCTTTGACCTTAGTTTCTTCCCAAGTAAAATGAAGTGTCCCTTTAAATTATAAAGTTCTCTAGTTCTATAATTCTCCTTCCAGTTACCTTCAAAAGTCCCTCTATGTCATTTTATAGGTGGCCTTTAATATAAGTGTTTATGATCGGCACTTCAAAAAATTCAACTCTGGTTTTAAGACCACGTGTTAAAAAATACTAAGAAATAGCAGTGCAGTTTAAAAACCATTTACCAACTAAAGGATCACAGGGATACAAATGGAGATAAAAAAATTCATCAACTGGCCACTGTATACAATGATAGATAATTTGCTCATCAGTGACAGTCAAAACAACAATGCTTCCAAGCCTAGCAAGAGATGAATATTTTATAATTTAATTCCCATCCCATCCAAATAAGTAATTCCAGATGCTACTACTGTGATAATTAGAAATAAGCTAATAATTTTTATTTAAAGAGGAAAAAATAATGGCCATAACTATAAAGCTTGATATAATAAGGTGAGCTAATATTACTTATTGAAGACAATTACTTATCTTTCAAGTTTAGAGCTTTCTATAAAAACATAAGCACCACATTTTCAGAATTACCATGAAAATATTTTTACCTTAAAATTTTAGTTTGTTTTTGTGTTTGTGTGCTTTTTGTAATTTATGAAAAAAAATTTCTTTTGTTATGGAGGATTATCCAATTGACCTTTTTTAAATTTTATACATCCTGATATTAGATAATTAAGTCCAATTTTATGACAACCAGAAGCCTAAATGCAACCTCAAATTTGATAATATCTCATAGAGGAAAATCACTTCTATATTATGAAATACCTTTACAAAAAGTTTTAGTAGAATGCAGATGTAACAGCAACTTCCTACTTGACAATACACACTAATTTGATTAAAAGCTCTCACATTGTGATATTCCACTAAATTCTAAGTTCAAAAGAGCAAGTTTTGTCATTATTTGTGCCCCAGGTGCTTGAAAATTAGTAGAGATTTGAACTACTCAATTCATAAACCGGAAGGACTCTGAAGATCATTGAATCAACCAACTTACTTTAATGGCATTTAAAAGAAAGAATAAAAACACTGTACCTGGATAATAATAACTAAGTCCCTTTCTTAAAGTTGTTGATTTAATTTAGAAAAGCATTTAAAATAAAAGTATCCCACACTTTAAGCAACCACATACCAAATACACCAATAAATCAAATTCACGCCAGTAAAATTTTATTACACAAGAACTACAAAATCAACCTTGATGTTTTTTACTTGATTCTATTCACCAAAACGAAATCTGCAAGCATTTTTTTCATTACTATCCTGAAAAGCAAGCATGCAAAACCACGACCGAGAGCCCTAAGGCAATAACGCCTAGAACAAAATATTCTAGGGTGCCACACTGAACAATCCGTTTCAGGTTCACTCCTATAAACAAAGGGAGCTGCACAAAGCTCGTGGAAAAATGGAATTTGAAGCTTCCTTATATAGCAATGATCAAGATTGAGCAATTCTTGAACCTAACAAATAAAAGCTTACTTTGAATGAAGTATACGGCACACAAATAGCTATCTCTATGGAGAACAGACTTTCCACGCCTGCCATTACCTCAGCAGGCCCTGTTGAACCACAATGAAACCCTAGGGTTCCCAAATCACGAAAGATCCAACCGTAACTACTACTGAGATCACTTCCTTCCCTCATGAATATCATTAAATACTTATTTTAAGAAACAAAATCTCTTTTAGTGAGTTATCATTAAGACAGATGAGCAACCTGTCATTCATACCTTTATCTGACACATTTCAACTTTAAAATCACCTAACACTCTCATCTTTTTAAATTAAAAATCACCATAATCTTAGCCTCCTGATTATAGATAACAAATTATGTGTGACATTTCCTGAACTAACCTCCAATCTCTTTATTCACGTTTAGACACTTCTCCATTACAAGAGAGAATGCACGCACAGGACATCAATCACTTTGGAATCTTAGCACCTTGAAGATGTCTTTAGCAGGTCAATAATCTTTTCACCTTAGAAGGACTTTATCAGATCTTGGCTAAAGCCTGGATAAAAGCCTCTGCATTAAGTACTTCCCACAATTGACAGTGTCTCGGCCACCACACAAAGCGGGTTTCTTCCTCAAGGTCACAATTCTTTGCAGCCTTCCAGAATGACAAAGGAGCATTTCCTCAGGCCAAACAAGCTGTCACACAAACTTTGTCATAGCTCAGATAAAGAAACTGGCAGACGGTGATAATAAGGTCTAATTTCCCTGCCTCCCTAGGGAGGTAAATAGATTTCAAATCAGTCTAAAACACCTATGCACAAGAAGCAATGTTATCTTCAGCCATACAAAGGAAAAAAGACTCACTGTAAATTCATCTAATGGTTCATTGATTTCGATGTCTAGCACTTCATCATTGTAAAGTTGTTCCTCCTCTGGCTCATCCCCATATCCTATTTGGTCTTCTGACAGCTCCGCATCGTGGCCTTCATACTGTCCTTCTTCTGTGTATGCTTGAGAATACAATTCAGAGCCATCAGATTTGTGATAAACCATGTCATCCTCTCCATGTTCGTACTCCGATTCCTGTTCTCCAGACTGGTCATTAGTGTTGTCAGGCAGTTCAAATGATGGTACCATGCCAGGTGTGGTATTAAGACTAATTGTGATACCCTGAGAACTAGAGAGGACAAAAAAAGAAAAAGAAAAAACCTAATTAGAGCAGAATTCAAAATAAGTAATGAATTAGTTGCTACAAAGTACAAATGGTGGAAAGGTATACACCTGATAAATTATTTTTTTCATTTCAAAGGTATACCACTTAAATGATAAATGCATTTACTCCACATCAAAGCTTAATAATCTACATTGAGTAGGAATCATATGCATACAGCACCACCACTTATCATCAGCTGCAGGTTATTTGACCAAGAGAATTAAATCACCCAGATGGTAAAATAGGTCTGACTGGCAAAGGCCCAGGACTGAAGCTAAACAAGCTTTATTTCATTTTAATGTTCAAAATGAGATGGATGACATCTGTTTTCTATGATTTCAAGGTAAAAACAGTATTACTGAATAAGCAAAAAACTGTGGTCAAATTGAAGAATTATTTTTCTTTTTCAAATCTATAATGGAGGTTAATAAGTGCCTGTTTTAAAAATCAAAATATTGAAGATGTATGTAAAGTTATGCAGGATGGATAAATCCCTAATCTTTAAACCTTAAGCCAAAAAGATCCTATTAAGTTATCATGAAATTTAACAACCATTTAGCTTAGCTAGTAAAACTATGTTTCAGCGTTATACTCTTTTAAGAGCTACCTGGTATGGGATCAAAGTGACAAGAGCAATGCAAAAGATAACTTAGAAATCTGAAGGAGCAGTGGATTTATATTAATAAGGGGAGAATAATTCCAAGAAACAGAGGGTGAGAGTGGTTGCACAACTCAAAGGACGTAATCAATGCCACTGTACCACATGCAGAAACTGCCGAAATGCTTTGTTGTGTATATCAACACTGAAATAAATCAATGTGGAATAATTTCAATAGTCAAATAACAAGTTAGTACTAGCCACACATTTTCAAAAATGAGTAAAGATGGCTTTTAAAACCGCAAAAAAATTATATTCTTCTCATTAAACAAAGCTGCTAAATGTCAAACACTAAGATGCAAGACAGCAAGACTTCAAAAAATAAGATTTTGCAGATCTAAACTCACAAATATTAAATACCAAATATCCAATCTTCACAAAAACGGAATACCCTTCATAGACCTGAAAATTGATTTAAAATCTCCAAAGATAAATTTCAAGGGCAGCATAATCCTAAGCATGAAACAGAATGACCCCAAAGAAAGAACTTTAGCATAAGAAAATTTGGTAAAATTTATGACTCAATAATAGCTTGTTTATCACATTTATAACCAAGAAGTGTCTGCTACCAAAGGATTGTAAATTGTATAATCCAAAGTGAAGGAGGGAATAATATCAGAGCCTAAATTGTGAGAATCCAGTTTGTAGGCGGCTATAGATAACAGTGCCCGAGATACATTTGTGGAATCTAAATAGAAAAAAGCTAGAAACTGGATGAGTTCCCTCTGTCCACAAAAGAGGGATGGGAGGAAAGCGATTATTAAACAGTACATTGGAGAGATGACTATAGAGAGATAACTATAGAGCAAAAGGATAAACCTAACTTGAACAGTTAAAACCTTGTCAGTTGATTCCCCCTCTAATGCATGTTAAGTCTGATCTGTTTTTCAACATTTTCT